CCACAGCTCCACCAGTTACTCCAGCACTTGGCTACACTGCTGTTTGCTACCCCCACTGGGATGGCCTCAGGGTACTGTCAGGGATTCCAAAGATGAAGTGATGGAGAACAAACTCCAACGTCCTAGGGACAGGCTGAGCCTCACTTCCACTCCAAGTATGTGGATGCTGAGCTAGTTTCACCTCCCCAGAATAACGGGTGGATGTTTAGAGGCTGTCACAGGACCTGACAACCTACAGACTGGCTTAAGAAGAGATCACAGCGAGGCTGGGCCTTACAGAAACATTTCCCACCCCAGCTTCCCCCTTTCACACCACACTGCTTTACTGGCAGCGGTACCGCAGCCCCCAGGAGAGATGCTCTCTCTAACATCTGGACCTCTGTTAGGGATTTACCACTCCAGCCTCCACCTCCAGGCCTCCCAGCAGCACAAGAGAACCAGGGTTTCACCTACGTGTCATCTGTGTCTATGGACTCCCCCCGGGCAGCCCCACCCTGGATGGACTCCATGGCCGTGGAGTAAAGTGCCTTCTGCCCTACGGGACGCTTCTCATCCGACGTGCTGTGGGCTCCCTCTGACTGTCGCTCCCGTTCTTGCTGGTCTATGTTATGAACCCCAAGCAGGAGGCTGTAGTCCATGATTTTAAAACTTTCCAAAACCTACGGGTTAGTATTGAGTTTAAGAACAAAGACAAAAGAACAAAGACAAAATATTAGGCCAGCAGCTCCAATACAGCACAGATCCCAAAGCGTGGAACCTGTCCACGTTCTCACTAACAACTCCTTTGCCAGAGCTCCAACATTTCTGAACCAACACTCATCCCTGGACTTGATTGCATAGAGTTTGGTCATCCAAACTCAACCCAAAGGGGCGAAGGCTTGCAAATAACACTGTCGTACCACGTATCTGCTGCACACTGTATAGGAAAAACGTGTTTAGTCCCAAGAGCCCAGCTATGAGCGGAGCAGGTTGCCACAATCTGATGCACCAGGCAAAGGAACAGAGGGTTAGTCCTCGGAGGCTGTCACGAGATCCAACTCCACTGCTTTGCTTTCAGGGAGAAGGGCATAGAAGGGATTTATCCTGCTTTAGGGTTAGCAGATTAGCAAGGTTCTCAATAATTTGCTCTTCCTCATGCTCAAGAGGCACACAACCTCGTTAACCCGCTCCCCAACCTGCCCCCTCCTTACCAGACAGTCTCGTTGCAACGTTTTCACCAAAGCACTGAAAGTGTCTGCATCCAGCATCAGGCCCTCGGGCATGTCTTGTATGAAGTCTAGATCCTTGTACGTAGGGCTGGACTTCTCTTTTTCCTTCTTGGATGCCCGGCGTTTATAGGTCGAGCCTTTCAGGTCAAATTTCAGGTGCATTTTCACCACACGAGGCAGAATGTTGTTCATCACGACCACGCGGATGTTTTTGCCCCCTGATTGCACACAGTACAGTCCATAAAACTTCGGCAGCAGTGTCCGTGGGTTCTGGTTCAGATTCTGCAGCAGGGTTGGAAAAAAAGCATGGGGAAAGGCCCTTGGGGCAGAAAGACTCCTGCTGTGTTCAACACAAAGCATGTTAACAGATCTTGGAGCAGTCAGACTAGGGGTTCATCACCTAGAGATTTTCTGAACTTTACATGAGAGCTTACTGTACATATTTGCCAAACTCCTGTATTTCCGTGGTTTTAGGACCTGAAAATACCACTATGCCTTGAATACAGGGAATGAGATGTTCAGAACTCCCTGGGCAAATAACCAAGTCCGGAAATTCCCCGCTTTCCCCATCAACAGCAGCTAAAAAAGGGAAACCAAACTGGAAGAGAAATAAACACAGTAAGTGGGAACTTCAAGTTTAAAAATAACAGCTATCTTCATCTCTTCTGAAGTGTCAGAAATCAAGAGCCATTCCCTGGCCCAGAATAAACCAGGGACGCAGTGTTTTTTTAAACAAAACAATGTCAATTTTCTCCTCCTTTTGCAGAGTGGCTTTATAAAACACAGTTGGGCAGAGAAGATGGATATCCTGCTCTGCCATCAGGTCCTTTTTTTAGGCATCAGTATTATTAGGAATGACATGAGAGGCATGATTTGCTTGTTCAGCTTTGGGAAAATTTGGGAAGGAAGCAGAACATCTCCGCATGCTATGAAAGAACGGACAGACCTGACAGATTCTCTGACAGACGGCAGAAGCACGACCGTATTAAAATTTCACACCCTCCTCATCTCACCTAACAAGTAAATATCCCCAGTAAATATCAAGCGAGGCAAGTATTTTCGTCAAGACAGTGTATGATCACATAAATCAAATCCACTGCCACACGCACACAGACGAAGCAGCGCTAACATTGCTTGCCATCACTTTCTCCTCGGCATCTCCACAGCAAACAAATCCACGGGTGGTTCTAACTGAATTGCAGTGCCCTCATCTACAAAGCTGGCCCCAGAGGTCTTGTGGGTGATGACCGTTAGGTTTGGTTCCGATTTGCTACTTTTCACCACCCGCAAGACCTCTGGGTCTCAATATATTGCCTTGCTAGCCCCGAGGCGCAGCAATAACCATCTGCAGGGGACTGGATGTGCCAGGCTGGCCGGTACCGCCGGAGCCTTTTGCTTTTTTACTGCCAGAGACAAGCAGCAAGTGCCTTCAGAGTAACTCTATTAAACAGCAGATAGGGGAGATTTCCAGGGTGGTTTCCCCACAAAACCAAGGTGGTTGTGTCACGACAATCAACAGCCATCCGCAAAGTCGGGCTGAGGCAGACGCACGGTGCCAAGCGAAGAAGAATGAGCGGGTGCTGGGAAAAGGACACCCAGCAACACACACCTGGGAAGCTGTTTTCAGGCCAGAACATGCCCACAAGCTACGGCACAGTTATGTACTACAAATTTACTCACAGAGTTTGCAAATAACTCACAGGATTTATGCTTCTGGGACTGGTTTCATGACACACTGTTAACGTTGTCCCTGGCATGGGGCGTGCAAGCCACAAGAAACCCAGGTGGAGGACACACCTTGTGTGATGCTCTGGACAGAAAGGCTGCCCTGACAAACCCAGGTGGGATTCAAGGTGCTGGGGGATACACACCATATAGTAGCCAGGAAGGAGCTTCTGTAGGAATTCAGCTTCCTTGTGCATCACAGTTTTTATGATGAATTCATCGTCGCTGGTGACATAGAAGAGGGAGCCGCTGGCACCAGGGTTGGACAGCTCTATCAGAGGCTCATTACATAATGAATACTAGGGAGGAAAAGAAGAAAAAGATTATGTTTTTAGCCCCCACTCATCGCATATTGAGTACTATGCCATTGAGGGCTGCCCCCACTATGCTGTCTCGCCGTGAGATGAAGGGGTAGCAAAGCTTAAGTGAGAACTATTTTCATTATAGGTTAGGTGTAAGGAGCAAAGCTGATGGACAATTTACAATTAGAGACCAAGATTACAGTTCAGAGCATCCCAGCTACTCAGAATCAAGCTAATATCTGCTTTCAGGAACATCCGGGCTTCATAATGACATCTTCTCTTTTCCCACTGTGCCTGTATCGCATTTAGGCTTCTTTCAGCACATTATCACAAGCACAGACAGAAAGATGGGATTTTAAGAGACGTGACAGTCTGCTCAGGGCACGGCGTATCACCGTGCTGAAGGGAACAGAACGCACTGGCTGTTCTCAGCTGCCTCCTCTGGCCTTGTGCTCCCCTGTTACAGAGGATTGTTACCGCCACATCCTCAGTCCTGCCAGAAACACACGGAAAGTATGAGCCCAGGTGACCAAACAAGAGAGGGATCAGTGCTGTGTAAGCACAGCAAGGGGTGCTGCACCGGGAACGGAATGCGAAGGATATTTCTAGACATTAGGATGCAAACAGCAGGCCCTCAAATGAGGACATGCCTAGCAGGAGGAGGGAAAAAAAAAAAGAGGAGCAAGTGCAAGCACGCACGTGCACCGTGCAGCCGGGCACCGGCCCCCCGAGAGAGCAGGTTGAGTGGGGTCAGGGCAGCATCGTGTCAGAGCTGCCACAGCAAGAGGTAAGATGGGGAGAGGGAGGCAGGGTATGTCAGGGCCATAATCAGAGCGATAAATTAAATGTTCAGCATTATGTACTGAAAACAGCTTTCAGCACTGCACAGATTAATGATCCAAGACTTTATCAAGTTAATGATCTCATGCATAATTAAAGGCATTTGCTGCTGTGGCAGGCAAGAGAATCAGGGGAAGCAGAAGCAACAAATCAGAGCCGTGACCTTTGCAATCGAGGCAGGCTCTTTGCCTCACCCAGGTTTTGAACCACTCATCAAATTAGCCAGCCTTAGCTTGGATGGCACAGATGGAGAGAGCTGCTACTGTCAAACTGCGCAACGGCACGGATTTGTTTCTGCTTGTAGGTGTTCAGCTATGATTACCACTGTCTACAGCTGAAGTCAGGAAAAAAATGGATATCCAAGAATGGGGAGGGCATGCACTCATTTGGGTGTGTTCCCTTCCCCGGTTCAACAAACGTCCTTTTCTAAAAAGCAGGACGTCACATACACGCAAGGGACCAAAGTCAACCACAGTGTACACCAAGCCCTGACAGCTTGTACTACTAGGTATTTCAAAAACACAGCCTTTCCAGCTCTGAGGAGCTTTCTGAGCACAAGAACAAGCTGTATTTTAGTCTGTCTTTGTAAGATGATTAAAATAACTCCACTCACATAGTTCTTGAGTGAGTACACAAGGAAGAATTCCCATCTTTGTCCTCAGAGCCCCAGGGGACATTACAGGGTTGCACCCAGCAAAACACAACTCGTTCTGCTTGTAAACACAGCAAGATATTGTCACCACAAAAAACAGAGAGGGAACCCCACCGCACAGCTTACACAGCACACGCTGGATGCTGATCGTTTCCTTTCCTTCCAGGGTAAGCCAGCAGCTGCCTCTTAGCAAACGAAGACTTGGGCTGAGCGGTGCTGGTCTTGCTGGGACCATCACTGGATCTCCTCCAAAACTAAACAGAGTCCCTAAATCCACCGCCTGTTCTCACTCCTTGCTGGGATCAGAACAGTTCCTCAACTCTTTTCTGTCCCTTTTAGGCAAGAATTGCTGACAGCCTTAACTCAGGGGCAAATTTCTTGTGTTACTCTAGACCATTTCAAATAAAAGAGGAAAGACAGAGAAATACAAAAATACATCCATACCAAATAATCATCCGGACGAATCCCAAAGAGTTCTCGGAAGTACCGAAAAGCTACAGGTGCATAGGTCTTGAACCTGAAGTCAGCATAATGGTGAGCCGGGGTGAGATTACTGCCTTCGCTGCACAGAACAGACATCACGTGAGCAGGGTCTCTGTGTCACACTCACCAGATATGTACAGTCACATCACGGTTACTGTATATTTAAGATGAATTGAGCCTTGCAAAAAGACATCTTAGGAACAAGAACAACAACAATGTCTTTCTTCTGCAGCAGGACAACAGGAAAATAGGTTTTAAATTATCTGCCAGAATCTATTGCCAAAGAGTGCAAGGAACAACCACTTGCCAAGCAGAATATATTTACACAGAGAACATCGCTTTTATGAGCTTTGTTCATTCATAGAGTTGAAGAGCTCCCAGAATTAGTTTCTTCCATCTCAAATGTGGTATAATTGCATGGAAGAAATTCTAGACAGGCAGGTAGAAAGAAAAGCACACAGGAAGGCTACCCAAGTCAAGCATGTAGTACTACCTGCTCGCAAGCCAGTGCACTGCAGAACCTAACACTCCCCACTGTTCTGTTTGTAGGTAATGATGCGTATTTAAAACATTCAGAGCATTCGACTCTGATCTAAAGACAGATGGAAGCTCTCTTGAAAAATGAGTGAGAGGAAAAGAAATAACCATTCATTGTATTTCCCCTCTCTCCTTTACCTTGGGAAAAAAATGCTCTCCACCACATAGAAGTCCTGCATCAGGACATCTCTCTCTGGCTTGGAGCTCAGATTGCCGACAGTATATCCAATCCCTAGCTGGATGGCCCCCTTCAGAGTGGATGAGGTGGTCTGGCAGAGAGAAGAGAGCAGTCAGTGAGCACTTCACAGCAGATTATCTCGATAATGTCCCCTGTTATTACAATAGAGTCACGCCTATGACTTCTGCAGGGTTGTCTCAGGCACTACATACTGCGAAACAAGTTCAAGCAGCTTGCTGAAGAGATGGATCAAGGTTTCCAGATGTGCCGCTTGCAAGGTACAAGGGTGCTACATAAAATCTAAATCAGATCAGTAGCTATTGGGCCCCAGCTTCTCTTCTCACACATAGCTGCCAGTCCCCACGCCACAAAACCAAACCTTTTTGTAGGTGGTTTCACCAGAAGCATCAACGCCTCGATGACCTATCTTCTTTCCTTGGCCAGGCTGTCCTGGTAGCGATGGTCCCTGCAACGAGAGAGCACGGCTGGAGCCTGGAGCAGGAGCTGACCCGGCGGCCGAGCAGCAGAGCAGCACAGCACAACCCCCTGCCCCAGCTGTGAAGGACAGAGGGATCGTGCTCTACCGCTGGAGAGGAGCCTGCAGAGCGACACCAGGTGTCACTGGCACTGGCAAGCTTTAAACAAGGCTGTTTGAATCATGCATTCATCCCTCAAGACGAGAAGACCCAGCCACTCCATCTGACAGCCTCACTGGACAGAGCCCTCAGCAAAGATGCTGAGCTCCAGAAGGATTTCCTTGGTTCCCAGCTGCCAACATTCCCCCATTGCTTGAGCAGTTTCTCACTGATGTACAACAGTGATGTATGAAATCAAAGAGTGAGAGAAGTTTATTCTTAAAAATCCCATGCCCTCAGGTGTCACCCCAGTGCCTCACGCTTCACCGGAGAAATAACGGAGAGATACCAGGGACAACACAGCCCCACTCCCGCCTCCACGAGGAGATAATCCATTTAAGCGAAATCTCACTTGTTTACAATTCAAAGAACAAGCCCACACGGGATGACCTGCAAGAACAGCTCTTCCCAAAGTTTTGCACAGAGTTTACAGCGACCCTACAGCACTGCCAGCGCTCCAGAGGGACAACAAACCTGCCCCCGTCCTGCTTTCCTCCTCTTCTCCCTCGGAGGCTGCCTGGGCCCTTTCTTGCCAACCCCGGAGGGAGCAGACTGTGGCTGTGCCCTTTACCAATGCGGCCGTGTCTGCTGAAGCTTCACATGCCCAAGCGTAGGGCTTCTATTCACTGCCAGAGGGCAACACGTCCCCGACCCCGCAGCTCTCCGGCCACCCCAGCACAGTGCAGAGCCCGGCCGACAGCTAAAGCTACCGTGGCATCGGGGTTTGTTACAGGAAAGAACAGCCAGGCTCTGGGTGTTCCTCCAAGCAGTGTGCAGGGAGATCCAAGGTCATTTCCCCAGTAACAATATTCTATCGCTGTCTCTCTCGAGTGCCGCACAGAGCCAGCTCTCAGAACCCAGTCCTACAGCAGACAATAGATAATTTTGTTCAGACTACCCAAGTTCTTTGTGTTTTAGCTTTTAATCAAGAGCTTGCAGCTATTTCTGGTCAAACTGCTTGTACTGCTGGTACGAAGGGGCACTCCGATTTCTCCTTCAAAAAAATCTTATTTCCTACTTGGTTTTAAACATTTAGCACAACCAGGCTTCCTCCCGAGTACTTCTTCTCCAAGCAGTCACCATTGGCAGGACAGCTTATCCTTCCCTTGCAGCTTCCACCCCACAACCTGGATCCTATTACACACCAGCTCAAGCGGTGTCGTCCTGCCTCGCCACGTGGCTCATCGTCATCCTCGCAAAGCAATTAACAGACACGGGTATTGGTTAAGAGATTACCATCATATGAAAAGCAGCAACAAAAGTTCCTTCCACAGTCCCTTGCTCTACCTGTGACTGTGTTTCCAGAGTAAGAAAAAATGGGGCTGTTTGTGCACCAAACAAAGCAACCAACTTTCCCAGAAGCTGAGCTTCCTGCTATGTGTATTTCTGGGGAGGCAAAAAAAGAACCAAGTTTCACATTCCTGGCAGTTTTATGGGAAGATTTTGCTATTCACACATACGAATGCTCATCATCCCAGGTGAGTAATGTAAAGGGGTATGTCAGAAAAATTCGATCAAACAAAAATAATTTGAACACAGTGCCCTAAACTAAGAGCGTGGGCTTCAGGGAACAGCTTTCAGGCACAGATCCTCCTACTAGATTCCCCGCTGCCAACTGTGAAGAGTTTTCCTCCAGAAGGTAACAGTGATTCAGCAACCTGAGACCTGGATTATGTGTGAGAAAAGGTCAGTCCCTCGAGATGTTCCCCTGTTTTATAGCTTCACAAACTACAGCCTCCTTGACGGACTCCCAGGAGCGCGTGAGACCCAACACCGAGCGCTGGAGGTGCCCAATACACAGATTCTCCACTTATCATCGTCAGGTTCTGGTGTGGAAGAGGTGCCCTCAGCCACTTCCAGATGTCGTGGGGCACGCAGCTGAAGCTGGCCACGGGGTGGGCAGGATCCCCTCCCATTCCCTCTGTGGCTGTGGTCATACCAACACAGGGACTAGAGAGACCTGCCACTGGTTTTCTTTCTCCCAAATAACAGATATCACTTTTTCAGTAATCTTAAATGTATTTCCGAATCCAGCTTTGCTCAAAGAAGTCAGGCAGAAGCGTTTTCTAGAGCTCTGTGTTCTCATTTCTCAACAGGGGATTTTCAAGGCCAGGTTTCCACCTCTCACCTCAGTGATAGCTGCCTTCTTCAGCGCCAGACCTGGGGAGAGAAGGGAAGAGCATCAGTAAAAGTGGGGACATCAGAAAAAAAAAAAACCAACCCAGCAAAAAAAAAAAACCACACTGAGAAAACAGCCCCGTGCTTTGCTCTTTCAAGCAAGCTGGAAAGCCTTTATAGCAGCTGGTTTTGTTCAGTTTCCAGTTTCACTAGTGCAGGAGTCTGAAGTTACAGGAGTCACCCAAACAATTTCATATTCAGAAGCACAAAGATGAACAATTTTTCCTAGCAATAATGTCTCCTAGAGGCATCAGTAGAAGGAGTTCCCGTAAATCCCTGCTGCACCGTAAGTAATAGGTCCACACTACACCGAAGAGCCAGTTACATATAAAAGCCCAGAGAGACCCTTACGAAGCTGCTTTCCAGCCACTCACAAGGCACTTGACAAGCTATATTGATAACTGAGTCTATTTATAGACTCTGATGTCCAAATATACCACAAAAACCAAATGCATCATTTATCTCTACCATTGCCTTTGGGAGAAGGCACCGTTACTCCATTACAGTGAACAGGGAGACATCAGGATGTTGCCTGAAGCTTTCAGATATCTAATCAGAGTTGGAAACACGGGCCCAAGCCCTCCACTAGGATGAGGCCACCTTTCCATGCCCTAGCACGAGTCCAAGTTTGCAAGGAGCTCCTTATTTTTAGGCAACAGCGCGAACAGGCTCCTCTGCTGCAGTCCTCACGAGGTGTTCGCATGCGAGAGCCTCGCGTGGGGGACCACGAGCTCCAGCCCAGCCGACTCCGCAGAGCCACCACGAACAAGGATCAAGAGCGGCTTAAGAAGAGCTCCCAACCCCATCCCAGCAGCACAACCTCCCCTGCCATGGCAGCCCCCAGCCCCCAAAACCACGTCTGCATGCAGAGTTTTCCTGGTTCCAGCTGGGACAGAGGGAACTCTCTTCCCAGCAGCAGGGTGAGGCTGGTTTGGGTTTGTGCTGAGCAGAAGCTGATCACACGCTGATGGTTACAGCTGCTGCCAGGACACTCAAGGACTTCCCAGCTTCTCTGCTGTGCCCGTGTCTGCAGGGGCAGGAGAAGCTGGAAGGGAGCACAGCCCCAGTGACCAGCCCAGGATTCCCCCTCAGGGTTAGGGCTGAGACCAAACTGGCCGATGGTCTGTTCCATCCCATGCCCGGCACGGCCAGGGGAGAGGGGAGGCTCTGCCTGGGAGTTCTCTCTCTTGCTCCAGGTTGTCTCCCTCTGGGTCACCCCTCTCTCAGGGTTGTCTCGGTCTCTCGGACACTCGGGCTCTTATCTCCATCCCAGGATTGTGGTTTCAGGACTCTCCCTGCTCTGGGATCGTTGGCTGGCGACAGGCTGAGCCTTGGCCATGGGGTGGTGAGCAGTGTCACTGTGTGTCACTTGTTTGTATATTTGTATATATTACTATTAATATAATCATTATTACGATTTACACTATTCTTGTAGTTTAGTTATTAAATTGTTCTCATCTCACTCCGCGCGTCTCTTTTCCCTTCCCCCCGTTAATTCTCTCCCCATCCCCAGGAGGAGGGAGGGTGAGCGAGCGGCTGTTCTGTGTAACTACAACAGAAGCCCACTTGCAAAGAACACAAACCCAAGTGACAGATTTAAGGCCACTGTGTCCAGGTACGAGTGTGCTGCTCCCTGCTCCCATCTGAAGCATTTGTACAATCACAGGGCGTTAAGCAACCCACAGTCCTTTAGAAAGGGCTTAATTTCACAAGAGACCATCAAGCAGAGCGTGAGAGTTTTGCCTCCAGAGAAAGGCTCTTCCAAGCCCTCAACTTTTCCTGGCTTGAGGGCAAGGGGTGGACTACGCAATCACCTGCTGGTGCACAAATCCTTCAGCTCAGGGGGGTGCCTACCCTCAAGCTGGGGGGGTGGAGGGTGTCCCTCTCCATGAGGAGTGGGAGATGTCCAGCCCTCTTGGCTGGAGAACAGGAAAAGCCCCGGAGGATCCGGCCCAACACACTGCTGCTTCAGCATCTCCCCCATTTGGCCACGAAGGAACTACGGTGGGGTAACTGCTCAGCCTCCTCAAATACAAGCAGTGATGCTTCAGGACTTGTTTCAAAAGGAGCCTGAGCAACAAGCGGGGCGTAACAGGAGTGCGCTGCTCTGCAGGTGACAATGGCACTGAGCGCGTGTGATTCAGTTATACTTCAGGAAATATTTCAGACACTGGGAAGCAAAAAACCCCAACAAACCCAACAAAAACCCCTTCGTGGTCATAGGGGAGATGAAATTGTTCCTGATCAGAAGTGCTGAGGTTATTTTACCGTTTGGGTCTCAGCAGACTGGAGATCCCCTGGTGCAAAATGGGGCTTGTCAATGTGGCACTGACCTGTCTGCAGTGAACCGCCCAGCCCGACAGCGTGGCTGGCATCGGCAAAGCCAGAGCAGCACGGGAAGATTCGCTTCTTGTTTTGTTCTAAATTGTGCTCTCTAGTGCCTAAGTCTCGCATCAGGAACAGAATCACAGGGCTGCAGCAAAGGTCTGAAATCCTGCTCCCTCCACGTGAGCGGCAGTGCACATGCCATCCCAAAGAGGACGGGAACCCATTCGCAGCACAGAGCCGCTCCCCTCCATCGCCCACCTGGGTCACACATCCCCTGGCCCAGGCACACGATGAGTGACACAAAACCTCTTTGGGACGGCACCAGCACGCGGCTCAGAGGACCACCGCTAGCTCAAACTCTGCGTCAGTTTTTCATAGAATCATAGATTCATTAAGGTTGGCAAAGACCTCAAGGATCATCAAGTCCAACCATCAACCCAACACCACCCAACCCACTAACCCATGCCCCTTGTGCCAAAAAATTAGTTTTTGACCTAAGACAGCACAATTTTATGATTGTTCAATGGCCCAGGGAGAAGGAGATACAGCACCGAGTGAGCATTTGGCTAACGAACCTGCAGGGCACAAGCTGGAGCAGCAACTCAAGACCACTGAGGAACGCCAAGGGACAAACGCTGCTGCTGTCGGCCACTGGAAATCGCTGGGATCAAGGCAGCCAAGAGGGCGCCAGGGCAGGGAGATCGCTGTCCTACTGCACTAATCTCTCTTCTGCACTTTGTCACAATTCCAGAGCAAGAGATTATCTTTAATTTTGTGATAATTACCACAAGCTGCTTTCGTTCCCAGATTTAAGTGTCTGCTGCTGTACACGTACCAAATGTGGAATCAACACCAACCGCCTGTGCCAAGGAAAGGTAGCAGAGGCGAGGAACTGTGGATCTCCAGGAGAAATGATGCTTTAGGTGGACAAGAGCATCACCAGCAAAACCTACCTCTCTCCATGCCCTGCCAGCCACCCCCCCTACCAAAAAAAAAAAAAAAAAAAAAAAAAGAGCTTTATAAAATCAACTTGTCTAGGCAGAAAATGAAAAAAATCTTCCACTGGCTACTCAGTGCACAGCACTCGGTTGCATTCATCTCAAACAAGGGGACAGATGGCCTTGCAAAAACTGATTTAACTCCAGCTTCGGGGGTTATACAGCCACGAGAGACAGCACTCGGGTTTAAAGGGAACAGGAGCTCCGCTGCGGGAAGTTCCAACACTTAACAAGCTAACTGCAATGATTCTTATCCGATTTGGTGCAGCTTAGCGAGGGTGTATTCAGAAACGTGACAACTGGCTCTGGAATGGGAACCCTGGGATGAAACCCCAGCTTTCCGCCCTGCCTCCAGCTCGTGCCGGGGTTTTGCAGTGCATTTCAGGCACGCTTGACCTGCTGCCTTCAGTTCCTCTTCTCATCTGTACATGGCTTTGGGTCAAACCCATCCCAACACTCGAGCTCCTCCGGAACCTCAGAAGCGAATGCTTCGGTTGTAGCATTCAGCAATTCTCATCTCTGGTTTAACATCTGTTTTTTTCATAGACCTCTCTATTCACAGCCACAACTGGCTTGTCTGTCGCTGCCACCCCACAGGACAGGGACAAAACGCTCCCCAACCGCTCTGCGCATTTACCATCCGACACAGAAAAGGACCCTCGAGCCTCAGCTCTACCACACCAGGGCAGCGTGAACCCACACAAGATAACTCATTTCTCCTCCTACGTGATATACTGCGTCAACAAATCGGTGTTCAGCCCTTTTCAGGCCCCTCACACCCCATTTACGTGGGCTCCACTGTGCTCCCAGGAAGCGAAGCACAGCACGGGCTGGCAGGAGGGCTCCCGCTCGCCCAGGAAATCCTCGTCGTTCACAGGTTTCATCAGCCAGCACGTGAACTCACAAAACGGAGCAGGGTTGGGATCCGAGCATCTCCCGTAGCTTCTCCAGCCCCCAGCCTCTCTAGATGCTGTCATCAGGGAAATGCAAGTGATGTCAGAAGTGGAAAAAAATTAAAAATCATCAAATATTTGGGCTTAAAAGCAAAACTTCATGAAAACCAGAAAATATTGTCCTCGCTGTCTACAACTTAGAATGCATTTACCAAAGGTTTCAAGTTTCATTTATGGGCAGAGAGTACATTTAAAAACTAATCAAGGAAAATAAAAAAGTCACTCTGTTCTCTCAAAACCAGCCAAGGCAAGTCGCCTAGCAAAAC